CAGAGCCTGTCGTTTCGGCGAGTCGCCCGCAGGTGGCGGTTTAATTTCACGGGCTGTTGATCGCACGCATTGGTGCTGCCTCATGTGGCAGTCGCGGGAACTACAGCTTCCTGCACAACTGTGTGATATCAGGCTTAGTAGTTGATGGCAGAGTCTTCGCATATCCACGGTTGCAGAGGAAGACACTTCTAGTGTAAGCTCTAGAACGAACCTTGCATACGACGCATTAATGCACCGCGAGAAACAAGAGATGTTCTCTGAAATTCTGTGCGTGATTATTAAACGCACCTGGTGCCTGAATTTCTGATTACCGTTGGACCTGTTCCCCGTACATTTCAGCCATTTTTCTTTATAGTAAAATTGTTTTTGTTATGGTTTGTTAGGCGTTCTTTACGCCAAACCTGTCTCCTTAAAGCCCGTATGAATGTAATCGTCCCACCTGTCCACGACGTTGCTCTGATATAGTTTAGTTATGCGTGCTCATAAAATGCTTTGAAATAACTTTAAAATATGCCACGACCGCTTCCATCCGGTTTCTGCCTCGGCTCTGTATGTGCAAGCTTCGTTACGTCGGTCACTGAACCTGCTGTGGGACACTGGAACGCCTTGAGGTTATGAAGCGATAAATGGAAACTGATATCGAAACAGCTTGTTTGTTTGTTTGTTTCTACGATTATCTGTCCTAATTTTTAAAGGAACTATTTGTTTTATGGCAAGATTAACATCGCAATGGGAGAAGAACACTTTATAGTGATTGATATTATTAAAATGGCTCGTGAGTCGATTTGTTGATCCCCTGTTCGCGAAATGTCTCGCACCGCCTTAAGCAAGCAGCTGGCTGGCATGACGAAACAATGGCAACCTCGCTCAACGCTGTTCGAGTTTGCATCAGCCGCTGAAACACTGCCCGTGGCGAAGCGGCTCACCAGTTTCTTGTAGGACGAGGAACTCTGCCCCGGGCGGAGGGGGCACGACCGTCTTTGCATCTCATTCAACTCTGCAGATCCAACAGACCCTGATATATCGATTAATTTATAATTGGTATTATGCTTGAATGAGGCAAGTCCCCGACAGCTTGTGTTCGAAGCCATGGTCGGATATATATATATATATATATATAAAACAAGTGACGTCAGAGCCTGTCGTTTCGGCGAGTCGCCCGCAGGTGGCGGTTTAATTTCACGGGCTGTTGATCGCACGCATTGGTGCTGCCTCATGTGGCAGTCGCGGGAACTACAGCTTCCTGCACAACTGTGTGATATCAGGCTTAGTAGTTGATGGCAGAGTGTTCGCATATCCACGGTTGCAGAGGAAGACACTTCTAGTGTAAGCTCTAGAACGAACCTTGCATACGACGCATTAATGCACCGCGAGAAACAAGAGATGTTCTCTGAAATTCTGTGCGTGATTATTAAACGCACCTGGTGCCTGAATTTCTGATTACCGTTGGACCTGTTCCCCGTACAAAATTTCAGCCATTTTTCTTTATAGTAAAATTGTTTTTGTTATGGTTTGTTAGGCGTTCTTTACGCCAAACCTGTCTCCTTAAAGCCCGTATGAATGTAATCGTCCCACCTGTCCACGACGTTGCTCTGATATAGTTTAGTTATGCGTGCTCATAAAATGCTTTGAAATAACTTTAAAATAGGCCACGACCGCTTCCATCCGGTTTCTGCCTCGGCTCTGTATGTGCACGCTTCGTTACGTCGGTCACTGAACCTGCTGTGGGACACTGGAACGCCTTGAGGTTATGAAGCGATAAATGGAAACTGATATCGAAACAGCTTGTTTGTTTGTTTGTTTCTACGATTATCTGTCCTAATTTTTAAAGGAACTATTTGTTTTATAGCAAGATTAACATAACTTTATAGTGATTGATATTATTAACATGGCTCGTGAGTCGATTTGTTGATCCCGTGTTCGCGAAATGTCTCGCACCGCCTTAAACAAGCAGCTGGCCGGCATGACGAAACAATGGCAACCTCGCTCAACGCTGTTCGAGTTTGCATCAGCCGCTGAAACACTGCCCGTGGCGAAGCGGCTCACCAGACGAGGAACTCTGCCCCGGGCACATTTTATTTGGAAATGCTTCCTCGCCACGGACCAGAACAGCGTTTAACGACACCTTATCGACTGGCCAGGTTTTTTTAACCAAGGTTCACGGGTTCCGAGCCGAACGTTTTGGCATGTACTTTGGTTTTTTTCACAACGCTGTATCAACTGGGGCGCCTTAGCCCTCCCGGAGCCCCACAACCCTACATTTCACTCCCCAAGATGTAGTTCGAAGTCAGAACCCCTTTTGATGGAGTGACGTCACGCAGGCGTTGGGGAAGTGGTTGTGGCCTGTTTCTTGTTCTCTGTGACGTAGGAACCGACTTGTCGCCTGGGGAAAAGTGGAGTTGGTGGGGTAATTTTCTGTTTCTAGTCTTGTTGTGGGTGAATAGGGAAGGGACGCTTAGAACACGCGTCATTTAGCGCTGTAAACAGCAGTGACTCTGCCCAATGACCCGGAGCTAATTCCTTATTCAGTCCCGAGAAGCAATACACTGCTGCCAACCTAAATAACTTCCGTTCCTGTAGACATGAAAATTAAATTGTCGTCTCTTACGTCTAATGACAGGGGTTGGAGGGGGGAAGGGGGCGTCGGCGTCGGATGAATGTGAAGACTGAGGCAGACAGACGGAAATAAGAGAAGGTTCAGACGCATTACCGCAAAATTGTTCTTGCATTTCTTGTGTCATTTCCGGCTAACCAACCGCCTCCTTCTATTGCTGGGGTTAGGAATGTGTGGAGCCGTACCTCCAGCCCTCCATGCCTTTAGACGGGCCTAATTTTGGATCTAAAGGCCACTAATAAGTTTTCTTAAGTAGGGACCGCGAAGATGGCAGAAATTTGTCGCGTCGAAAATTGTAACAAAAGGCTTGGATCCAGCTCCGTTTTGACTGTGTTTGGGCGATCCCGGAGGTGGCAGTGCCTCTGAGCTTAAAGGTTCTGTTGCGCGGGGACGACATTTTGTTGTGACGTCGAGCATTTGGCAACTTTTTTTAAGGCAGCAGGCGACAGAAGGACGACTTCCTGTCGACTGCAATCGGCGATATTAATCTCGTCTTACATTTTTTCATTCCTGTCGTGCGTAAATCTCGTTTCAAAATATCTGAACTTTGACACGGCATCGAAGGATTTATTGTTTGTGATGATTTTATTATTTTGTCCTGAAGTCTGTTGACAGACACCGTTTCTCTCGCATGGACCCGATTCGAGGTCGAATAGTACACGGCGGCGGGGGGGGGGGGGCTTCTTGTTCTGTTTAACGACACTCATATTAGCCCGTGCACGCGTGAGGAATTAGAAGGGATGCGAAAGGAAGCGATCGTGGACTAATTTAAGGTTTCGTCTCAGCATTTGCGTGGAAGGCAGAACCTCAGCAAAAGATATCCTGACGCGGACCGAGGTCTGAACCCGGGACGTCCCGATCGATTGTAACGGCGAAGAGCTACGTCGGCTTTTGTGTGGGCTGCGCTGAACAACAGCTGTAATGCGTGTCGGTGGTGACCCAGTTTGACCGCGCAGGGTCAAGCCTTATCTGTGGGGCAGACGACGACTGGCGTGCTGCGTATTGCCACTTCGCGTTACTCAGGCGTTCTCTACGTGGAGGAGGTTTGCTCACAGTCGCACTGAGGGCGATGCTCAGTTGTCTTGGCCTCGGCGACCTCTCCTGGCACAGGTGGTGTCGGCCGGCTCTTCGGTGTACATTTTATGATGGCACAGGGCGCGTTCCACCCGAATGCAGTTCGTAAGCGTTTTCGTTCTGCTTGCGAGCGGAGCGGAGGTAAGGCTCCACGTATTCCTCGCCCCGGCAGTGAGTGGTTCGTGGCTTGCGTTGCCTTTTGTTTTCAGTTGTGACGACCGTGTCGATGCAAACATCTGATTTTGCTTTCGTCATCGCAATTCCTCGTGCGTGTGTTTGCTTTTATCTCTTGTTTCCCTCTCTCTCTATCTCTCTCTCCGGTTTTCTTGTCTTCCAGAAGATTTATTATTTCGCTGTTGAAACAGAGACTCGTATTTTTCGCTCTGATTTGCCTCCTAGCAATCTGCAACCCGCCAACAAGGTTATCCACCTCTGAGTTCCTGGTTCGAAGCCTTGTCACGCCCACTGCCTTCTAAAATCGAAAGTTTTGTTGAACACAAATCGCACTCGCCTCCGTTACAGTACGCGGAGCTTTGCCTCCACGCCGTCCACGCATCGCCTTCCCAGGTGCAAGCCCGCAGAGATTTGCGTCATGTGGCCGTAGAGCCTGGTACACACCTGCACGCAAGTGAACTTCGGTTCTGAGCGTCTCTGCATACCTCAGCTGGCGCGATGATGACGAAATTTTGCAGCTGAGAGCGCGTTGAATTCCGACGTGGATCGTATCTTTTTTAGCCTCGTTTCCGTTCGGTGTTGTTAGACACGAACCGTGTTTACAAACATCTCCTGTGTTCCATTTCCTCCGCTGCAGACGTGAAGGTTTTTTTCGCAATTTTCGAAAAAAAAATAAAAGAAAATAGG